GGGGGGGGAGGGGTGAAAGGGCTAGAACTCCACAAATTTTCTTCCTACTTCCCTGATCTGGCTTCTTTACCAAAAAACATCTAATTATATCTAGGCTCGCTTTATTCTGAAAGGTACATTGGCCACCTTACTTTCAAGCGATGGCAAATAACGAAGAGATGGGCATAAAAAGGAAGTAGAGGTCGAATTGATGGAATGTTGCTGTCACGGATTCCTTTCTTCACAGCTTCCGATCTTTGAGGAAGATCAGTTCTCGTGTTGAAGTAATAGCGTTTTCGACTATATTCAAGACGTCAATGAGTTAAGCTCGATGTGGCAATTAGTTTATCATCAAGGAGCTTAACGGAATGATTGCGATTATTGATAGAAGAGTGCTGATGTGTGAAAACAGCGGTAAATTATCGCTCAGAAAAGACCTAATTAGCCCGTCCAATTAACTATTTGGTTTCATACAGTGACACTACTTATGGTGGGAACATCTTTTAATATGACTCCTTGGGAAATTCAGTTTCACCGCAGCTGTAGAAAGGAGAGCGTGCTTCAGTCAGAGATCGAATTATTTCAAAATGGCGATTTCCATTAGAATGAAAAAAAATTGAAAACCCCAGACAACGCTTGAAAACCCAGTGCATTTACTCTGAGTAGAAATTTCCCACCATTTTTTCATATTTGTATCCCATTCATCGATTTTGGGGAAGTGTTAAGGCCAGCTAAGCTTTGTGAGACGGGCAATTGCAAATAGTTGACAGGGCACTGGAAAAAAAGAATTGCATGTTGTCACCAGTTTGACTTCTGTGTATGAATCAGCCGCCGTTACGTGTGTACTTCCAATCTAAATTAAACACTCTCTCCCCACCCCCTCTCCCACTCTCCCCACCCCCATCCCATCCCCCTCGTAGTGGAGATTACACTCCCTGATAGCTGTTGTGATTGGCATTTGTGTATGGTGAGGTGAGGTGGGGTGAGGAGCGAATCTCCAATGCACCGTCGATTGTACACCAATTTCGCGTGCGCGCGCGTTCGAGGAAGACGCATAATGCTAAATTCGCCACTGATAGTATCTAACACGAATCTGCTGTTTCTCATGGGAGACTTAAGGGGTGAATAAACAGCTAAGTACATCATGAACACACAAACATTAGCATATGAAAGATTGAGAAAAAAAATATTTCTCCACAAAATAAATTGTTTAAATATTTATTAATAAATAATACCATTAAGCAATGATAATATGAGCAAGAGCATGAAAACTTTGTTAAACTCATTTAAATATCCCTCTTAAGTATTAGCAGCGCTGAATTTAATAGAAGCAGGCCAAATAGACTGGACGGGACGGTTAACTTCTGGTCTCAAAAAAGAAATGAATTTTCCGCCTTTTTTAAAGAAAGGAAATAGGTCAATGAGGCAATACCCCAAACAGTACTAAGGCTGATTCCCACATAACAAATCAATCTGCCTCAACTAAATTCAACTAGAGCGGATGAATAAATGACACTTGTCACCCAGAGCGCGACAATGCCGCACTGACACGTGCGCGACCAGGCGAGGCAACTTTTGGATGAATGGTGAGAAAAAACGTCCGCATGTTGGTCAGTCAGGCAGAAGAGACGGAAGCCTGCAGGTGCCGACTGCCTCATCGTCAGGGCGTGATCGCCTAATGCATCATTCATTTCCACGCCGGCGAGAAATCCGCATAAGAAGGGAAAACTCGATCAGAGACGCGTTTGAGGTTCGAAATGAACGAAATACCATTAGGCAATTTTTATCGAAGCACCGGAAAAGAGTCGCAAATACTGGAATTCTTACTATATGGCATCAAGCATCTATGAGGTGAATTTCTGCCTTCAAAGTTGAGTTGCTTCGCAAAAAAAAACATTTTATTTACCTGATTACATGCACGCTTTCTGCTTGCTTCGGTGACTTCTGATGCGCGGCTTCAAAAAGCCTTTCTTGAGCCACACCTATAGCCCATTTTAATGTTTTACCACGTAGAGCAAACGCGAAATTGGAAAGATCGTTAGCAAATTTTAATTTAGCAAACTTATTTCAGGCCTTTTCCCCATCAATAATAAAGTCATTTTTCAAGGAGGTCATCGCAACCTGACAGACCTCAATAGCGCTTTCCCCCACCAGTTGGTATCAGAATTAATTAATTAAATCAACGTAAAGAGGACTTGTCATTACCTCTTCTGTTTTCTACTATCGTGTTGCAACAAAAGACCTTCCTTATTAAAAGAATCGGATTGAAATTTCTAGCAAATAAGTGACTTTGAAAAGTGAATGCCTTCCTTCCCAATTATCCGCTTCTCACGCGAAGGATTTCTTCCCAAGTTGAAGCAATTTTCACAAATGCATGGAGGAAGTTAACTTGGCGAAATCGAAGCAAAGAAGAAACTAACACACTCCTTCTTCTCTTATTATTTCAACGTATCAAAATTGCTTTTTTGTAAACTCAGAACAGAATCCAGGCTCTGAAAAAGTAGTCGGTGTCTGAATCACATGATTCAGAGGGACATTTGTTTAATTGAAGAGGAAAATTCCAACCTTTTTGGGGACAAGTTGGAAGTGTAAACGAAGCTGCATTTCACACAAATGTCAATTAACGCCAAGTCTGACGCTAATCTACTGACTTGCCCTCTCGGAACCGTAAAGCAAGTAACAACATCAAAATCGAGCACTAAAATGCAATTGAACGGTCTCTCTTCTAACTGAAATGAAGTGCCAACTTTGATGGGAGACTTAATTTAGTTGCAGCTTCATTGCTATTAACATGCATGAAGCTAGAAGGCTGAAGAATTTGCTGCAATGTTTTGAGGTTAAGGCTTGAGGGAGGAAGGGAGGAAAGGTCCCCAAATAATCCTCGAAATTAGCTTCAAACAAAGTGCCAATTTAATTTATTTGCCCAAATTATTTTGTTGGCTGAATTTTTTCGCCTAAAATACTCTCTGATCTGACGCTTAACAACTGCATAAAAATTATTGATTTACAATCGCCTCAGTGCTTTGATGACTCAGCTAATTTGTTTGTTCCCACGTTCTCACCACCAACAACAAAACTGCGTTCACTTAGCGACTTCTCTGTTCTACGCGCTTGACAGGACATGACAAAAGTCAATCAGCAAACTCCAGCACTCATTCTCACAAAGCGGAAAGAAGGAAATTGTCCTTCAATGCCCAACTCCATGTTACACAGCAGAAGCATAATAATAAATTACGCAATAGACAAGTAAGTGGAAATCAGGTCCTGCAGAGGATTTCGGAAACTCGCTACGACGCGAGTACTTGGGCAAATGAATACTTTGTACAGGAATTTTAGTTTCTTACCAACTCATGGCGACTTTTGGATACTGTGACACAATGCATCACCTCAGCGATGTCCTCTCCTCACATTTACACTCAGTCAGCTAGTTTTATGGGTGCTAATGGCCCTTGTCATCTTAAAGTACAATTGAGGTCGGACTAAAATCCCGCTACCTTTCCCATGCGTTGGTAGCGCTAATTGACTAATAAACTGGTCAGCCACCTCACTTCACTCCACGCCATCACATAGAGGTGTCCATATTCATTCTGGACCCCAACAAATTCGGGGTCGTGTGTTAGAATTCAACCGTCCTGGTTAAGAGTACTGAATTGTTTTTTTTGCTTTCCGTCCCCATAGTAGACAGGAAGAGCTTTTGATTAACATTACTTATTTAACGTGGGCAGGCAATCGGGCACGAACAAACTAACCAGGCTGTGCGTGTATGTGCATGACTAAGACCATCGACACTTCTCCCCACCCCACCCCACCCCACCCCCCTCTCCCCTCTCCCCTTCATATAAGGTTTCCAGTATGTAGAATCAACCGAGATAGTTGTAAGACACGGCGACAAAGCTCGCGCGCAGAAATGGAAGACTAAAACTTAGAGAGAACTCGCTACGGAGAAGAATCCCTTGGGAAAGCAGTGAGGGGGGGGGGTGGATTAGTGTGATGGTAGTGTTTGGACGGACAGGCTCACTAGAGATGGCGAGATGGTTTCCGCACGATTGCACACACTCACACAAATTCAATTAAGCGAAAAGCGGAAGGCACGAAGAGAGTGCAGTAGCCTATACTCCCTGTCCACCCCCGTCCCGCCCCGCCCCCCGCCTTTTTTTCTTTCGCCTTCTGCCTTACGTAAAGCACGTAAGCCGAAGCGTCATTAATCATCCTCTCTTTTCCGGGCACGTCTACTTCAAACTATCCCTCCATCCCCTCATTTGCGTTCTTCTATGCCTCCCCACCCCACACACGCGGTAGTGTGATTCTTGATCATTCTCGCTAATTTTACACGTGCGCACCGGGAAGGTTAGCCATGTTTGAGAAAAACACAAAATCGTGTCGCATTACCTCAAAAGCACTTTGGGAACAGTTGCAAGGGAAATTGATTTTCCTTCCACTCGCTTTTGAAAGATTCGGAGTTGGAGTGAGTGGCTGCCGTTCAATAATGCAGGTGGTTAGAAGGACTAGTAGTTGTTCCATTTTTTCACTGGCAAAGTTGGGCAGGAGGTTGACAGAACTACCCCTCCAACGCCTATGAGAATGACGACTATTTTCAAGTACATCTAACGATAATGGTTCAAGAAAAATTTATACAACCCTAGAAAATGCCATGCCTTTTGGAAATAAAACGAAATTTCTCTTTAAACAATGTGAAAGCGGTAAAGTTTGACCTCAAAATTTGCCAGTAAAAAGGGGATACGATCAAGTAATACCCAAAATGCAGTGAACTACAACTTTTAGAATTGTCAAATTATTGTGTCAAGTAAATATAATCTTTTTATCCTACGAATATATAGAGCTATTCATCCTTCAAAAAAGAAACTCGGACAAATCTCTAGACAACTCCTGCGATTTTAAGGGAGGAAATAGCATCGTCAATCATGGTGCTCACGAATCGGGAGAAATGCGTCTGCATTAAACAAGCAAACGTCGTCTTTGAAACGCATGAGCGTGCCACAACCAGTGAGAAAGTGGAATAGGGCACAGAGAAAACCCCCTTCACCAATAGTGAAGGTTACTAAAAAAAGGGAAGTTGAGAGGGGAGGAGGAGGAGGAGCACTCACAAGTGACGCGATGAAGACTTCATCGGCGGGATCACTGAGGAGGTACTGGATGAGTCGGATGGACATTCGAAGGGACTCGCATCCCATGTAGTTATTGTTGGTGCTGCCACTTGAGGCCTCGGCTTGCTGAGCTGAAGGACGTAGAGTTGTGGGGGCGACGTCTGTGGAGGAGGTTGAGGCCTTTCGAGCCATCAACACTCGACAAATGGTGATCTTCGCCACCTGACGCAACGCACTCTGTCGCACATGCCAGTACGGCGAGATGATTCCCATGGCAACCTGAGGAGATGTAACGAAACATTAATTCATCAGAATGCCCCCCACCCCCCTTTATCCGTTAATTCAACTCATTCTAGGCAATAGATTACACACAAAAATTGGATTTAACCTCAGAAAATTATCTCTCCCGATTTCTCTGCCTTATCTGCCGTCGTTCTGCCTTCTTGTGGCTGAAATTTGTCTGCGATCGGCGAAGAACAGTGTGGAACCACAGAATTATTGATTATACCGAATACTATATCCAAATACCATATGCATCTGATTAAAAATACCCCAGTACTCGTAGACCTTCCAAACGAGACTGAGGGAGAAATTAAAAATATCATGACTCATCGGTGGTGCATGGAGGGTTGAAAGGCCCCGATACACGCCGCCAATGGAATTAACACGACCACCCGCAGTGAAGAATTGAAAAGGTTAATTAGATGGTTACCCCTCAAAAGTATTTTCCATATTGGCTTCGAAGTCGGAATGAAGTGAACGAGTTGAATGAAAGTCAGCCTTGATTCACGGTGAAAGTAGTAAAATTTCGGGACAACAACAGCAATAACAAAGGGCTGAAGTCTACGAAACCAAATGTCAGGATAGCAGTGCATACTCCGGTGATGTACTGCTTAATTCTACTGAACAAATAAAATATGTGGTAGTAGAGCGTGATATTCGAAAGAGCGAAAGGTCCCAAGATACTCTTACTGTACTCAAGTCAAGTGCTGTCACCACTTTCCAAGAGACGCAAGGTCAATGAAAGATAAGCTTATAAGAAAAAGTACACCAACACGAGCACACCAGCCTTCACATTGTCTTGGAAAGCTGCAAAATAATACGAGGGCTTTGTAGAAAATTGGGATATTGGCAAAGGCAGCTAAAGCATAGGGAAATATTTTCGTAAATCTTTCACTTTAATAGGAACGCTAAACATCCACTAAAACGGAACTTTTAGAAGCCGCAAAACACCCGAAAATGCGGATTCAGGAAGGCAATGGCTACTTAAACGGAGTTGAATGATGAACAGGAGAAATTCAAAATTCTAATCATGGATCCCACCTTGTTCAGCTAGTCAAGTAAAAATGGGCTTTTAAAGAAAGAATTGATTATGTAATTGGTTTGGAGTAGTTGTGGTAAAATACCTCTTCAGAGAAGACGGACTTCCAGACTGAGAGACAACTTTTGAGTCCAGGAACGATATGATTCTGAAGGAGGAGAAAACTTGCGGCGCAGCCATCAAGTGCAGCAGAGGCAGAGGATGTGGAGACGGGGACAGCAGCTATTTCATTGGCGACAGGTTGGGCGGGAACCCGACGAATGGCTCCCTCGGTGCCTGGATTGGTGGGAGTGAGGGCGTTGGACCACACCCGACCGCACACCGAACAGTACAACGAACCAGTCTCGTTCTCGCACTCCTCTTGCCCTGGTGATGAAGTGGGGGGGGGGGGGGGGGGGGGGGGGG